ATTATATAACAGTGATTGCTATTGAAGATGGGCTCTTGTCGTGGTCAGAGCCAAAACCACCCTCCACTATTCATGGGCGGTAGTCCGAGTCCGATGACTTTAATATCCACAAATACAAAGAGAATCCTGAGGCATTCCCAGACCAACTGAGGGGTGCCATGGTCCATCAAGTGTGCCCTGGGTCTTCCCCCGGTCTCCACCAGATTAAGATTAAGATTAATCATTTTCACTTTTGTATGTCTATGTGTCACTTTTGTATGTCTATGTATCACTTTTGTATGTCTATGTGTCACTTTTGTATGTCTATGTGTCACTTTTGTATGTCCATGTATCACTTTTGTATGTCTATGTGTCACTTTTGTATGTCTATGTATCACTTTTGTATGTCCATGTATCACTTTTGTATGTCTATGTATCACGTTTGTATGTCTATGTGTCACTTTTGTATGTCTATGTATCACTTTTGTATGTCTATGTATCACTTTTGTATGTCTATGTGTCACTTTTGTATGTCTATGTATCACTTTTGTATGTCTATGTGTCACTTTTGTATGTCTATGTATCAATTGTGTATGTCTATGTGTCACTTTTGTATGTCTATGTGTCACTTTTGTATGTCTATGTGTCACTTTTGTATGTGTCACGTTTGTATGTCTATGTGTCACTTTTGTATGTCTATGTGTCACTTTTGTATGTGTCACGTTTGTATGTCTATGTGTCACTTTTGAATGTCTGTGTCACTTTTGTATGTCTACAGTATGTGTCACTTTTAGTCTATGTGTCACTTTTGTATGTCTTTGTATAACTTAATTTTAAAAAAAAGATTAAGAGATCCTTTATTCGTCCCACAGTGGGTACATTTCTGTGTTGCATCACCAGTTTTTGATAAATGAACAATAGCTCTATACTAAAAAAAAACTCTCTAACTTTAGCATAACAACGAAGCAGAGAATCTTTAGCTTACACCTTAGAAGTGTACACAGATTTGTATTATGCCTTACTCTATTCTTTACTTCTCTTTTCTGACTGTTGCACCGAGCCAAAACCATTTTATAGTTTGTGACTTCCTGTTACTACATGGCAATAAAAATGAGTCTGATTCTTGATTGTAAGAAGGTAAGTAAGTAATCTTTAGACCAAGGTCACCCAAAACGCTTTACAATGTTCAGAGTTTAGACATTTTTACATTCTCTCCACATATTGTGCATGTTTTTTGTGGGGGAGAAACTTATGCACCCGGAGGAAAACTATGCAGACACAGGGAGAGCATGCAAACTCCATTCAGAAAGGCACTGTTTCCGACCAGGATTCGAACCCAGGACCCGGGAAGCAAGTCTAAAATCTCCAACACTAGTAAAAGACAGAGTTCCTTCTATATAACATTGACAAACTTAGAAAGATTTAAAGTCAAGTATATGAACGAAGTGATTGGGTACATTTTTTGGCTTTTTACCTTCCACAGTTTTCATATTTGCATAATTTTTTACTTTCATATTATGATATTTTTTGGAAGCAGCGTCATTTGCATAATCTAAATTCAAAACTGTAAATATGGAACAAAAAAGTAAAGTCAGTTTGGCATAATTCAGGCAGCGTGAGCTCTGAGCTGAACACAAGGACACACATCTGGTGATAAACGCTGTAGACTGTAGATCTGGCAACATAAAGTTCAGTGAGGGAAGCTTTGAAAGGTTTTCAGAGTGAATAAACTTATATGTCTATCTTCATGTAAATATGCATAAAGTATGCATGGACCTTATCGTTTATAAGGTCCATGCATACTTTACGCATAAAAATCTATTTTAAATCTAAAGAGGAGAACGTTTCCATTTTAACATTGGCTTAAGAATGATTCAACCAAATGTTATAGGAGCAGTTTTAATGCCTTTTAACTCATTGACTGCCATTGACGTATTTGTCCGAGACCCTCTATTTGACTAGGGATTACAGGAGAACAACAATAGCTGGAAACAAACTTATTTTTGTGGATGAAAGTAGACAATCCAGTCTTTCAGAATCTAGTTTCATATTTCACATAGTCTTAGGAAATAATATTCTGTGAGTCTTGAGAATCAGTGAAATCATCAAAAACAGCTGGCAGTCAATAAGTTAAATACTGTAGGTTCGCTAATTCTTAGCATAACCTAAACAGGGAATTTACCATTGTAGCTCAGACATTATTCCCTGGGTCTTGAAAATACAACTATTTTTATTTCCATTTAAGAAACAGGAAGTCAATTTGTTTTGATATATGGTCCAAACAAGTTATGAAAACCCCTGAAGCTAAGCAGGCAAGGATGTGGTTAATACTGTGATGGGAGACCTCTGGGAACACCAGGTGCCACAGTGGGGTGGCTGTAAAGTACCAAACTGCTGTTGTGTCCTTAGGCAAGACACTTCACCCACATTTCCTTGAATGAATCTGGTGTGTGTGTGTGAACGGTTGGTAGTGGTAGGAGAGGCCGATAACACACACTGGTTGCCTTGCTTCTGTCAGTGTGCCCCACGGCAGCTGTGGCTACAGTAGTAGTTTATCACCACTGTGTCTGGAGTGATTGAATATTGACATGTGATGCGTGTTAGAATGTCCAAAAAAGTGAAGGTAAAACTAATGCATTATTATCATAACATTGTAAAGTGATATAATTACGAACAGAAGTCTTCAAGTCTAAAAGTTTGTGTTTTATATCAAACCAGAAACACAAAACTGTAAAAAAATTAGGGTGGATCAAGGCGAGGATACTTTTTAAACTTTGTCATTTTTGCCACATATATCGCTCAGCCTCGCACGCGTCTTGATAAATTACCACATTGACGCATTCAAGTTCATGCAAAATCTATGGTCCCTTGCTGTTTCCGTCAGCAGACAACACATCCATCAAACCGCGAGCTCATAAAGCCACATTTATCTTGTCACGCACCCTCTGTCCCAGCTCTTATTTTTGGCATTTACACTAGCACTTCTTTTTCTTTTTTTTGGTGATGATTGGCTTTTGGTCGTAATCAAAGGGAATAGCTCACGACATCAGCTTCTCCGTGTCTGTTTTTTTCGTCACCCGCGGAGTCAATGTCTTTAGTTTTACTTGCACTTTGTGATTAATGAAACTTCAAACGCTCTGTGTGTGTGATATGGTCCTGAGGAAACGAGACCGGCGGGTCATAAACACCACATTAATGAACTGATCGAGGTGACACGGCAAGTCAACAAACACATCACTGTATTTAGTTTTAATGCTGTAATATGCAGTCTTTGTGTTGCCGACATTACCTCCAGGCCTCTGCGTAAAATGCTTGAGTGATGGTTAGACAGCCTGAGCCCCGGGATCTGCTTTGATTACCGCGATCACTTGGGTACATAGGGACAAACGGATGGCAGTTCATTTTTTTTCTAAGTACATTTGGCTTCTACCTTTGCTCTTTCATGCCCAGTGGCGAAATAATGTAGATGGGATTTTTTTCTCTCACAACTTGTCTGCACTAAGATAGCTATATTTATCATCTTTTTTTTTCAAGCTTCGAGGCTTAATTACCCAGAAGATGAGGGAGAAGGCGCAATGTAATTATGCAATCGTATATGTGGCGGATGCAGGCACGACAGCCAATCAGGGCACTTTTTTATCATTTATGACCTTTTGAGTATACTTTTACAGCATAATTTACAACAAGCGTCTTCAGGACAAGTTACTTCTATGAATATCGTTTCATCGCAATGAGCCTGAACATGTATGTGCATAGAAATTGCATATGACAAGAAATAATATTTGTTTATTAATTAAAATTCCCCTGAGATTTCAGAATATCTTTTTCAGTCCTGACTCCAGAGAGAGGGGAGTTATTCCACATGTTTTGATGGACATTTATGGACATTGGTTATTTGCCCCTAATGGACCAATGGCTTTATGTGTTTTTTATTGTTGCATTTGAACTGTTTTATTCTCTGATTTGTGTTGGCCAATTGAAAACTTTGGAAGGTCCTCAGGGATAACTACTCTTGTGATTTAGGACTGTACAAAATGCCAAATTCAATTGAATTGAATGAAAGAAGGAGGAGACCGGAGCACTCAAGGAAACATACTCAGACATGGAAAGAACTTGAAATTCCAGTCAGAAAGGCACTATCTTGAGGTGGAATTGAACCCAGGACCACCTTGCTAATTCAGTTACCAGTTTGCCACTAGAGGATGGATTTTCCCGTGTGTATCCTCACTAACTCACTTAAGCCCTAAATCACGACTGTGGTTATCTCAGAGGACTTTACAAAGCTGTCGATTCGCCTAGACAGATCAGAGAATCAAAGAAGTTCAGACACCGTAAATGCGATGATTAAAAACATGGAAGACCAATAAATAAAAAGTCCATAGATGTTAATAGAAGTCCATAAATGTCGTTGAATGTCAAATGTCCTGGATCATGACCACTGTCCTTAGACCCTCCTGCATCGGCAAGAGGAAAATCTCTAAAAACCCAGTGGGAGAAAAGAAAGAAACCTTGGGGAGCGAAGCATATTAGCGGAGAGGTGACCAACCCTGTATAAGAAATCAAGTGTAACAAATCAAGTACTTTAATTAACCAGTAAAACATCTGTAATTAAACAGGCTTCATGGCATACTGAGATTCGTTTCAAGGTAAGAAATTACTCGCCATGGCAACAAGCAAGTAGGAGAGTGATTATCCCGGACATTTATACACATTAACAGACATTTGCCATCTCTCTATGGACCAATGGCTTCTGTGTTTGTTTTATATGGCATTTCCTCTTCTAATTGTTTGGTTTCTCTCTCATTTGTTCGCAGTTGTTGGTGAATTGTCAATGTAATAGAGTCCTCTGAGACTGAGCGCTGTTGCTGTTGTGATTTAGGGTTATGCAAAAATAAATTGAATTGAATTGAATTGAACAGAGACCTTGTTGCAAAATAAAGGAGAGCTCATTTCGGGTTTGTCTCGGAAACCTCCTCCCTGAAAAAATTTATATACTGTATGTCACACACTGAAGGACACATTTTCGTAAGAAGCAGAAGAAGGAATGGCTCGTTGTTTTATGTATTTTCCTAATGCTGGCAAGCCCTAAAGCAAGTCGGATAATTTCCCCGGGAACAGCTGCTCTATGTCAAGCAGAAAAACAGCCAGCGGCGATCAAAACCATCACACATGTGGCCAAGTCAATTATAGTATACTCAAATTTGACTTTTTGTCTGTTTGTCTGTGTGTGTCTGTGTGTGTCTGCCTGTCTGTCTGTGTGTCTGCCTGTGTGTGTCTGCCTGCCTGTCTGTCCGTGTGTGTCTGTCTGTGTATTTCTGTCTGTCTGTGTGTGTCTGTCTGTCTGTCTGTGTGTCTGTCGGTCTGTCTGTGTGTGTATGTCTGTCTGTCTGTGTGTGTCTCTGTCTCTGTGCTTCCATGTTGGCCCAGTGTGAACAGTGTATTTTCTCCCACTGGGTCTTTTGAGTTTGTCCATGCCAATGCAGGAGGATTGTAGTGAGGATCCAGGACACTCGACATTCACCGACATTTATGGACATTGGTTTTCTGCCTCTTATAAACCAATGGCTCTATGTGTGTGTTTTTTTTTATCATTGCATTTCTTGTCTTTGAACAGTTTGATTCTCTGATCTGTGCTGGCGAATTCGACTGCCTTAAAAACAAGGTTTGCCAATAGGACAAAGCAAAATGATCTTGTTTTAAAAATATACAAGATATGTCACCTTTGGAATGAGGATATACAGCAGCATTTCTTAAATTAATAGTAAATGGCTTTATCCCATTGGCAATTCTTGTTTAAAGACAGTCCAAATGTACTCAAATTAAGATAAAAACCACTCAATTCCAGCATATATAACCTAATATTTTATCATTTTTTGGAGTGTATCAACATTTATGGACATTGGTCATCCGCTTATGGACCAACAGCTTAATATGTTTTTTAAACGTTGCTTTTCTTGTGTTTGAACTCTTTGACTCTTTGAATTCCTCAATTTTGTAAAGTCCTCCGAGATAACTCCTGTTGTGATTTAGGCTATACAAAAACAAATGTAACTGACTTTTTGACTGTCTGTGTCTGTGTGTTTGTGTGTGCTCCCATGTTGCCCAGTGTGAACAATGTAGAGCCAGAGGACGTGGAGAGATGGAGTGCTCGTGGAAAACCGTGCTGCTGCTGGTGTGCGCCTCTCTGGGGGTGCAATACACAGCCATCCGCACCCTGAGGGACTCACTGTCTGTGCCCTGTCCCGGGGCGTACAGCTGCCAGGGTCGCCGCCACCGAGGTAACGCTGTCCCACATATAGGCTGCGAGCACTTTACACTCACACTGAATATTCACTTTTAATGAGGAGATGACACGCGCCGCAAAATCCAGCTCCAGTATTATAATTAATTATGGAATATTATGCGCAGAGTTAAGTCTATTCCAGGACTTGAGATTCTCTGACGCAGACCGGTGGCAACACACTCTGAGGGTAAAAAGCTCAGCAATTGCTCTTTTACAGGGATTTCCCAAGAAGAGATGTGAGGATATAGAAATCAAATATTTATATGTAATGAGACTGAACATGTGTGTGCATAGATCTATCTTATGACAAGTCATTTTATTTGTAAGTCCCACTGAGATTTCAGAATATCTGTGTTAATGGGAGTCCTGGCCCCAAAGAGAGGGAGGAGCTATTCCACTTGTTTTTAATGACATTTAAACGGGAAAAAGTGATGAAAAATAAGTCAAAAATTGCTCAAATCTGGCAAAATGTATAATTTTTTGGAGCACACTCTGACTGCCTTAAAAAGAAGATTGGCCAATGGAACAAGCTAAATTATCGAAATGTCTCCATGGAATGAGAAAATACAGCAGAGAAAAGAGTAAATGGCTTTGTCCCATTGGCAAATCTTATTTTTAAGTCAGAATGTGCTCAAATGAAGATAAAAAAACACTAGATTTACAATTATTATTACCTCATATTTTATTATTTTTTGCAGTGTAACGACGTTTATAGACATTGGTCCACCGCTACATGGACCAATAGCTCTATATGTTTTTATCCATGCAGAATGTTTTATTGCCGAATCGACAAAATCTCAGACAAAAGCACTGTACATAACTTTTTACAGGGATATCCCCAGAAGAGACATGAGGATATAGAAAATTAAATATCTCTGATGCGTTTTACAATTAGGCTCCAATTTATCTCCATTAATTCTGTCCGCGTGGCACAGCTGCAACTTGCTGGCATGGAGCGACTGTGTACAAAAGTTTCATCCCCTTTGCAATCAGCTCCTCATCAGCGCTAATTACACGTTAGCTATTTGGGCTATATTTAGACTTCCGCCATTTCATAAACCCCCTTGGTAATCACCAGCAGACAAGCAACTTACTCATGCATGTTTACCCTCTAAATTATTAAAGCTTATTGGCTCCCTTTGCCAGTTTACTTTTCTCTGGCTAAATGTTGTGACGAAAAGTTTAAAAGTTGTGTTCATCCAAAAAAATGCTGTTCTTTCAATGTGTGAAATACCGGG